ATACAATTGAGCACAATATTTTATTTTTCTAATATTACGCTGATTATCCTCATTTTATATGATAATGTAAAAAATTGTATGCTTATGTCAACAAAAGAATATACGGTGTTATATTCGTGTAAATTATAAACAAATATTATGTATAATGTATCCAATGAACATTTTTATGTTAAGATAAATTTATAATGTTATTGTGTGTAAATGTTGTAATTGTTTATCAGCCAAAATGTCATTTGTGATAAAGTTTGTTTTTAGGATCATTCGTGATGATTTATAGAATAGTTCAACGAGACGTACGAATATCCTAATTCCTAAATAAAAGATTCCAAAATTTTTCCATCCCTTTTTATTAGACAACAAAAAAATGCTGTTTCTATCTCATCCCGATTGACTAGGCAACTTGGAAAATTGATTTTCTATTTTTGGATACTAAACTTTTGAGATGAAGATCATATTTTATACAGTTTCCTTTTTTTTCTATAAAAAATTTGACGATGAGATAAAATATCTAAACAAATTTATTTATTTTTCTCTTATTACTCATTACCATCACCTACTATCCTTTTTGTAAAATTACAATCATTTTCATGAAAAGAAATGTTCCCATTTTTTTATGACTATGAAATGATTAGACCGATAATGTTGAAAATATCACAAAAATTATATTTTAAAACTTAAAACAAGCACGAAAATGTTAAATAAAAAGCTCAACGTTTTTAAGAATAAATAAACATACCTCAAAATCAACATTCCCTTACATTTTATTGGTCTTAGATACATAAAGAAGAATGGAAAAACTTGTAACAAGGCAAAGATAAAGAAAGCTTGATAATTGATTGATAGAAGTTTCGGTGGGACAATTAAAGAAAATAGTAGGATTGAAATTCATTAAGTATTTGCTTGATGTTTTAAATTGAACATGAAAATAAAGTTCATAATAGAATTGATTTTGCTACTTTTAAATTTTGTATTTTAATTTTTTTTTTTTAGAAACTAAAAGCATATACACTTTTATGATAATGCCATAGATTTACAAAATAATTAACTTAAATCATTTTATATTTTTAATCAACGTTTTCAAATAATAACTGTGACTTTATTCCTTTTGTAAGAATTAAAATAGAAATTAGAATTATAATTATATTTCATCATCAAAATATATCATAATAATATTTGTCTCAGTTTCCCTTGGATTATTTTCGCTCCATTTCTTGATGATTTGTTTGATATGTAGAATTTGGATATATATATATATATATATATATATATATATATATGTGTGTGTGTGTATATATATCAATATATGTAAAAATAATAAAAACAGGAATGGTATTTTCCTTGTTTGATATTTGGAGATCACACTACATTTAGATAATCAAAATTTTACTGCAAGTTTATTAAATAAGATAAATAAAAGTAAATTTCATTTAAAAAATACATAACTGAACAAAGGAAGGGACATTTTTTTTTCCTTTTCCATTATACAACACTATATCTGTTTCAAAATACTTATTATTTAATATTTGGTACAAGATTTTAAAAAAGTCATTAAATGAAATACAAATATTATTTTATAGAATTTATTTACTTAACAAAATATTTAATTTAAAAATTGAAATAAATAAATATAACATTAATATTTAAAAAATATATTAAATAAAATAAATTTAATAAACTGACTTAATTTTAGTGAATCTCCATTTAAGTAAGCTCATAGTTAGAATGAAGTATTTTTGGCAGAATAATTAGCATGATCCAGGAATATAAATCTGACATATCTGTTTTTTTTCCTGTTATATAAAATGAGATACTTAGGTTTTGCACAAAATTTAGGAATAGATTAGATACTTTTAGCATAATTTATTGAGAGTATTTATTATTATTCTTATTTAAGTAAATTTTTAAATATTTTATTATTAATATATACAAGAAAATTTGATATTTTAGATAAAAACAACTTAAATAAGAATAATAATAAACATATCCTGATTTATCAATCTAATTAAAGCTTTATTTTAATTTCTTAAAATAACATTTAATATGGTTCTTTTTTAGCTAATAATCAACATCTATATTATAAATAAAAATATTTTACCCGAAAAGAGTATTCATTTGATTTTAATTACTTTTTATAATTATATTCAAAATTTTAGAAAGATAAATTATTATTTAATATTTTTATTGTCTTATATAATTTTTTAACCTTAAATATTTATAAAAAAAATTTATTATCTTATCTTTCATAGTTACATAAATAAATTAAAATATTTTAAAAATTATTTTTAAAATAAATTTATTATATATATATAATCACTTTAAAAACTTAAAAAAATTTAATTATTAAATATATTTATTTATTTTTAAAAAATTACATGTGCATTATACAAACTACTAACTAGGTAGCTAAAATAAAAAAAATACTTAAAAAATTACACTTAGATTGTATAATTAGATTAGACATCATTATTTTGCATGACTAAGCATGGAAATTGATTCTAATTAATCATTTACTGATTTGATTGGCTATGTTGATAAACCAATTAATTACTTTAAAAAAAAGTTACAATTTGTTCTCACATTTTTTTAAGTAAACATGGAACTAGTTTTTGCTCGAGTATTCTCTTAGAACATATCATTTTAGGATATTAATCAATTTAACAGTCTTATACTTTGAACAAGGAAAAGGGTACACTTTAAGCCGCCTACCTATGATGTAGATGCGATAATCTGCCTTATCTTTGTGGGGTTAAGATGGAGAGTAATAAGTAAAGAGTTAAATAGGCTTAAACAACATGATTAGGCGCATAAAGAGACTTTATAGATTCAAAATGCTATAGCGTAGAATATGATTGCCAAATATGTTTAAGTTTAATATCACGAATCACTGTACGATATATCCACCTCCATTGAAGCGAAAGCAAGTCCTCGATCGAAAGAACATTACTGCACAAAATCAAAAGCTAGCCATTGAATTCTGCATTACGGAGTCTATATATAGTTTCTTCTAAAACTAATATTCAATAGTGAGTGGAACTCAAAAATCAATACTTGCTGCAAGCCCTTACGTACACACTCATTGATGTTCAATTAGTGGAATTGATTCCAAGTTCTAAGTGGCGCATTTATCAGCTTTTTATATGTTATCTGTATGCTAAAATAAACATAAAACTAATAAACACTCTACTCCTACTGGCTATTATTCTGTTAAGCATCTTAGTTTGGCTTGTTTTTAGAGTCTTCCATAGAGTTTTCTTCCAAATAAAAAAAAAATTAAAAATTTACATGAAAATTACTCTATTGCATTGATGTATGTGCATGTATACATATGTATGTATTATTGAGACAAAGACGGAAAATAATTCTCAAATTATTTGCTCCAGATGAGAGGTAACATAAAGCATCTCCAGAACACGGACAATACCTAAAAACTGCCATATGACAAAAGAAAGAACATTTAGAGACAATAACGAACCAACAGGGCAGAGGAAACTAGCCAGGAAGAACAAAGAATGACGAAATACTAATAGTATATCAAGGGGAAAGAAAGATGAAACAAATTTTGAAGTTTGAAAAAAAAAAACAGTTTAATTGAGATATAACATGTCTTAAAAGATGTACGTAAAATGCTTTGTTTTATTATATTGAATTTATTAGACATAGTATTCGAAATCAAACTCATCAATTTCTCATTTAAATCTATCTCGATAACCCAACCTACCCTAATTTTTATAGATTGAAGTAAATTAAATGGAAAAAAAATTAAATTATATAGACATATGTTGCATCAATTTTTATACTATTCATATTTTTATATAAGATATAATCTTTATAAATTTCATAACTATATATTATCTCAATGATTTGTGTCAAAGTTCACTAAAATTGAACAATTACAAAAAAGATGAATATAATAATTTTTTTATAGACCATATTCAAACTAAAAAATTTAAACATGCATCGTTGAACTATTTAAAAACATTTATCCAAAATTGAAAAAAAAAAGTTGAGAAAAGAGTTATAAGAAAGATATGGTCATATGGAGTATAGACGTAGTGGACATTGACAAGACGTTGTTCACGGCGTTGGTACATCCTGGAGGGGGCTATGTGCGATAGATACTGTACGGGTTGTGATACTGCTGCTCATACCCCCTACTAGTCTTCCCCTATATACCTCATAACATCAACACTAGTACTTGTTTCGCCTCTTCTCAGTAATCCATTCTCCATGTCCCTCCTTTTTCTCATTCTCAACAGTCAACACAATACCTGTACCCTTCATTTTTCAATTGGTCAAACAAAGCCAACCAAAATTAATCGCCGTGTCACGCCACCATTCTATTTAACAAAACGTGATTATCCCCATCAGATTAGATGTTGTCATTATTATTTTCATATTTGTTTTTTTCCTTTTATATTATACGTATTTTCATGCTAGATTAATTGGCTATTGTTGATTTTAAAAATGAATAAATAGCCGTACGCCAATATAATACTCCCATATAGAGATGGCCACCAGCAAAATGTCGGCATTACCCAGGGGTAGTTGGACTAGATTGTTTTTTTTATTCTTTTAAATAATTTTCGACCGATTAAATATTTGAAAAATTAAAAAAAAAAACAGGGGTAAATATCTTTTATGTTTTTTGAAAGATTTGAGTTGCCTTGTTGAGAGGCAGCAATAGTATCGCACCCCTCTTCAAGTTTCCTCAATCTGAATTGGATTCCTTAGAAAACGTGGAAGCCATGCTCTCACGCTCAATTTCCGTCAAACACATTTGCCACTAAGCAGCGTCCACATGTCGTTGTGTTGTCTCGCCACGTGCCACGAGGTGATGGAGCCGGCGGCATCAAATCCCCTGTGTCCTCGGTGCAGACAATCATTACCCCCTCAAAGGTGCGTGAGAGGAGTCAATCATGATCGCAGATCATAATTCGGAACCAACCTCCTCATATTTAAAAACTTTCGAGAAGGCATCAAATTCCAACTCCAGCGGTTTATCTACTTTCACTTGCGTCTCTACACTTCACTCTTCGCATTCTCCTTTCTTATTGCCACCTCATCTCACCGGAAAAACTCCCTCCCATTCATTACTCCACATATGAGCGTCACATAACATATCCATTTTTTTTTCTCTTATTAATTACTAAAGCATTCATTTATTTAATATTCGAATCCTAACTTAGACTTTACCCCTTCAATTCACACTTGATATATTTATTTATTTATTTATTTATTTTTATTTACTTATAATTAATCTCTACGTAACCGTTTTCACGCGAGTTCCGTTTCGATAACTTCCCGCTTCCGTTCCAGTAGTGATCGTCCCTAGCATGAAGCTTCACCTTATCGCCGCCGCCGCCGCCGCCCGCCGCCACCACGTCACCTTCAACGATTTCCCCGCACTGGTATAAATATTCCACATGCATCCTTTCTGCTGCGTCTCCGCCATTTCCGACCAGGCGTCGCCGGTGAAACCTTTTGCTGATTTCGCCATGCCGCCTCTCCCCGCCGCCGTGAGATCCGATTCGGTTCACCGGCACAGCCACAGCGGGAATAGCGACTACGGAAGAGTGAGTCAGCGGGAGCAGCCGGTGGACGTGAAGATCAACGACCTTGTTGGGAACGGAATCTCCGGGATACTGTATAAGTGGGTTAATTACGGCAAAGGATGGAGGCCACGGTGGTTCGCGCTTCAAGACGGCGTGCTCTCCTACTACAAGATTCACGGACCAGATAAGATCGTCGTGAATCACGAAACCGAGAAGGGCTCCAAGGTTATCGGCGAAGAATCCATGCGTAGAATCAGTCGTAACCGCAATTCTCATCGCTACCAACACAGACGAAAGCCGTTTGGGGAAATCCATCTCAAAGTATATATATATTACCTCTCTGATTTTTGCTTGCGGTTATAATTAGGGATTGTGATTCTGATGTGGTTTCTTTATTTGGTGTAGGTATCGACGATTCGCGAGAGCAAATCGGATGACAAGCGGTTTTCGGTTTTCACGGGAACGAAGAGGCTTCACTTGAGGGCGGAGACACGTGATGATCGTGTGGCGTGGATGGAGGCGTTGCAGGCGGTGAAGGATATGTTCCCGCGGATGTCGAACAGCGAGTTGATGGCTCCGGTGGACAATGTAACCGTCTCGACGGAGAAACTGAGACACCGGCTTTTGGAAGAAGGTGTGAGCGAGGAAGCCATTCAGGACACTGAGCAAATCATGAGAAGTGAGTTTGCGGCGCTGCAAAACCAGCTACTGCTGCTTAAGCAGAAGCAGTCCATTCTCATTGACACGTTGCGGCAATTAGAGGTACGTGACTGACTCTAATGGAAACTACGAAACTTCGTCACTGTGCCTTCTTCAATTACTGTTGCTCATTCTTTGTTTTTGTGCTTATGAACTTTCATTTATATCAATCTCGTCCCTCAAGTTTTAACCCCCATTTTTAAGGGGCATTCGTGTGTAATTTCTCAAGTTTTTATTCTTGGTTGTGCTTTGGTATGTTAACAGCCGAAAGTCAAAATGTATGGGCATCTTTCTGGTTTCTGGACCCCATTTAAGAGTAGTAGTGCAATTGTAAGTTGTATCCAATAAATTGTTGTAAAACTCAATATTTTGTGTATACAATCAGTTCTATGTCTTGCATTCAGAATGGGAATCTAGATGGCTCGGGTGGTATAGTTCGGTATCATAGTGTCTCCAAATTTGAGATGTTAACTTTGAAGTATGAGGTTATGGTTTGTTGGTAGTTTATATATATGAAGTTTCAAAGCTACTTTTTTTTTCTCTTTGTTCTCGTGACTTTTACTGGCTATGTTAATACCAGAATCCTAGCATAAGTTATACCTTAAACTTACTACATATCTGCTCAACTGCATGCCCAATATAATTTGTATGACATGAAGTTAGTCACTGTTATCTGACATAGGTCTTTACTGTTCGTTTATTTTGATCTAAAATTTTTCTACCAGTTAATAGCTGATCAACTAATGCTAAATGTTATTCCAAATTTTGAGTCTTCTTAACTAACTAGGTACACATCAATAGATTAAGGTTTATTCCCACCCCCACCCCCTCATTTGTGTCTTGCAAGTGGCCTACCTGAGTGAAAAGCACAGTTTCTTTTATCATATTGTGCAGACCTGCAATTATGTTGCCTTATGGCGGGTGAAGAGTTGGGTAGGTTCTTCACGGGATGAATCTTTTTATTAACACATTATCTAATAAAATCTATTAAATTCTGCATTGATGATAACATAGTGTCTGATAAACTAAATCTGTTGAATTAGTCATTGTTTTTGTTGTTTCCACCTTGTTTAACAAAACAGTTTCATTTGTGATTTGTCCAAGGATAGTTTATTAATTATTTTATTTTAATGCTTCTCTTACGTGTTTAACATATTGATTAAGGATATTTTTTCAATCTTCACATGTATTAATAAACTTTTATGTATATTATATTATTATAGACAGAAAAGGTTGATCTGGAGAATACAGTTGTTGATGAGAGCCAAAGACAGTGGAATGATGAAGAGGCTTCCCCAAGATTAGCGCAAGAAAAATTTAGTGGTAAGTTTTTTTTATTAATGACGTGTTTTGTTAGGCATCCATGCTCCCATATGCTTAACAGTCATGGTCATAGCTCAGTTTTTATGGCTGGCCCCTTTGTTGACTGTGGTGAAGACTTGAAAAATTTCTGCATTGCCACCAAGGTTTATGTAGAAGTGTCATTGTTTTGGTGAAACATTTTCTTTAACTTGAATTATTTAGGTTCCACCATCTCTAATACACTGATGCCCCCTCCTTTCCAATGCTTAATACTCATACCTGCTGAGCAATTGTTATAACCTAACTGAGCCTTTTTGTCATGTTTTTTTTTTTCTTGTTTTAAATTCAGAAGGAAGTGCAAGTGAATCTGAGGATGATAACGAGAGAAATGATGCTGCAGAGGAAGAAACAGATGATGATGACAATGTCTTTTTTGATACTCGTGATATTCTATCGTCCAGTTCTTTTAAAAGTAACGGGTCTGATTATCGAGCATCGTCTTTCTCTTCAGATGATGAAGGGTTCTATGCATTTGAATCAGAGGAGGATGTAGATCCTTCGATTAGATACATTGGAACCAATTACCCTCATGTTAAGCGGCGTAAGAAATTGCCAGACCCTGTAGAAAAAGAGAAAGGTGTCAGTCTTTGGTCAATGATTAAGGATAATATTGGGAAGGATCTAACAAAAGTTTGCCTTCCTGTTTATTTTAATGAGCCTCTGTCATCCCTGCAAAAGTGTTTTGAAGAGATGGAATATTCATATCTGCTGGACCAAGCATACGAATGGGGAAGAAGGGTAAGTCTGGATTTGGACAACAGTGCTCTATTGCTCTGCTTTATTAGGGCAAATCTGAGTGCTTCAATAAAATTGTTTCATTGGATATGAGAAAAATGTCATGCTATGTTGAGTTTGATTTTCTTGCTGTTAGCTATTTCAATTCAGTATTGAGTGCATTCTTGCCATTTCTAACTAACTGGGGATGCCATGCAGGGTAATAGCCTCATGAGGATTCTCTATGTTGCAGCTTTTGCTGTATCTGGCTATGCTTCAACTGAAGGAAGAATTTGCAAACCATTTAATCCATTACTTGGGGAAACATATGAGGCTAACTACCCAGACAAAGGCCTTCGTTTTTTCTCAGAGAAGGTATAATAACCCCACATAGTGATGCGATAAATTTACTACATTTTTCAAATTAATCAACATATTAAACCATGACAATCTTTTGTCTCTAACTTTCATTTCTGATTTCACCCTAATTTATATATATATATATGGAAGGGGTTGGGGCGTTGGGCAATTGGCTTCTTTCAGAAATCTACTACTGTGTTGACAAACTTTTTTTTCATTTGAGGTCTTAATCAGAGTTATTTGAATAATTTATTTCATAAAATTGTATGTATTAATACTTACATTTAAATTCCTTACAACCACTTGCTTTTGATTGAAAGGAACAGTTTTCTCAATATGGAGGACCATAATTTTAGAAACTACACCATTTATTTCCTAGAAAAAAGTGGTGATGTGCGTGCATTAGCTCTGTAGATTCCAATGAACAGAATACAATTTGGGTTTCAGTGCAACAAGATGCAATTTGTCTTTTACAATATGTGCCTTATTTTTCACATTTCTGCTTCTCCTCAGGTCAGTCATCACCCTATGATCGTTGCATGTCACTGTGAGGGTACTGGTTGGAAATTTTGGGGAGATAGCAACCTAAAGAGCAAATTTTGGGGTCGATCAATTCAGCTTGACCCTGTCGGTATTTTGACTTTGGAATTTGATGATGGAGAGGTTTTCCAGTGGAGCAAGGTATGTTTTATCTGCGTCATCTACTATGGTGTCCTGATTTGGTTCTTAACCGAAATCAACGTTTTCTTTCAGGTTACTACATCAATATACAATCTCATATTAGGAAAGCTATACTGTGATCACTATGGTACAATGCGTATACAGGGAAACCGAGAGTACTCATGTAAACTGAAATTCAAGGAACAATCTATAATTGATCGAAACCCTCACCAGGTGCTTTATATCTGTTGCATGGATTCTATTTTTTTTTCAGATTCAACATATCCATTAGCTATGATATTAAATTGTGCTTCCTCTTTGGTTTGCGTAAGGTTTAGTTGTCGTACTGTATAAACTTTAAATATGCACATACTTAACATTATTGCTAAGATTTTTATTTAATAAAAATAATGAGGATTTTGTTAATTGAGAGGATTTTTATTTAATATGCACACACTTTGCCAGTAAATCAACTTTTCGTTTCATTTACCATCTTACTATATACTTGATAATTGTTATATGTGGATTTTGTTGCAGAGGGTTGTCTTCTTACTGTGGTTTGCGTGCATTTTCTAGGTTCACGGTATCATTCAAGATAGGAACGGAAAAACTGTATCAACTTTGTTTGGAAAATGGGATGAAAGCATGCATTATGTTAATGGAGACTGCACTGGGAAAGGGAAAGGTCATGAATCTCTGTCAGAAGCCCATTTACTCTGGAAGCGAAGCAAGCCTCCCAAGTTTCCCACTAGATATAACTTCACTCGCTTCGCCATCACATTAAATGAACTTTCTCCCGGATTGAAGGTCTGTTTACTTAACTGGTACTGTCGTTTGTGTTGCCACTCTATTTGTATATAATTTATTTAAAGAAAAATATTACAAAATAAAAATCTGTATTATTCATTGCAATTTTTGCTTGCTTGTGCATGCATCAATTGGAATGGACTCGGTTCTTGCAATTACTTAGGGAAAACTATCATCTTACGGTGCAATATTGTTGAGTGCGCAGGCATGTGTTTGCCATGCTTTTGGCATTTTGTTGGACACTAATTGTCAGTTTAACTTGTGATTTTACATAGGAGAAGTTGCCACCTACAGATTCCAGGTTAAGACCAGACCAAAGGTATTTGGAAAATGGAGAGTATGACATGGCAAATTCAGAAAAGTTACGGCTAGAGCAGCGGCAGCGCCAGGTGCTTGTTACATTTTATGTACTCTAAAGACCGGGTTTATGGTTTCACTATAGCTTAGCACATAGAGAGATCTGTGTAGGTTTTTGGGTGCTTCATAATACCCTTTATCTGAGTAGTCTCTATTTTCAGTTGTCTTCCACTCATAAGTTTTCTTTCTAGTTTAGTAAAGAACTCATCATGAGAATTATCAAACATAAGAGATTAATAGGCATTTGTTAGTTTTGACTATACAACTCGATCAACATTAAATCATGTACTCGTCAATTGATGGCTCTAGAAGGGGATTGTATCATTGAGCATATATTAGAATTAGATGTAGTAGAAAATGTTCGTAAGGTGCCTTTACGGGGAGGAAATTGGAGTAACTGATATATTTCTGGATTTTATGCCAAATTAGCCAAGTGTTTTTATAGTTCCCGGACGTGATTGACCTAAAAAGATTTGTTTTAATGTGATTCAGGCTAGGAAGATGCAAGAAAGTGGTTGGAAACCTCGGTGGTTTGCTAAGGATAAAGCGAGCGGGACATACCGCTACATAGGTGGGTATTGGGAGGCCCGACAACAAGGAAAATGGGACTCCTGCCCTGACATCTTTGGTCAAATTCCTTCGGATCATATTTCAGACGAAGGTCAAATTACATTTTAGTTCTTCAAATATTTTTTCCTCCCAATTTTTTACTGATGGGTGTCCAATAACTGCTAGTTCGCTGTTATGGCACACACCCTGAAATTCCTGTAAGCCAATCAGATGAAAATATGAGCGAGTAATAATGTAATTCTTTTTCTTCCCATTCCAAGTCTGATTCGCAGAATCCTTACTACTTGTGCATTACGTAATCGTCATTATTATTATATTATCATAGCGACAGGAAAGCATTAAATAATCGAAACATAACACTACGTAGGGAAGCAAATTGCAAAAGCAAGTTCTATGACTCCATAAACATTGGATACTTTAAAAGACCGACAAAGTGTTAGATGGAACTTCTTCGAGAAGCAGTTAGATGCTTCAGTAACTTGATGCTTACGAGAATTACGTAAGCCGTTGGCAGAACACAAAATGAGACTACTGATGACATATCTCCATTGCTAATGCTGGCTTCCATCCTTGATGTTCCATAGCAACCATATGATACGTTAACATTTATGCATGGTACGTTAAAGCCGTTAGTTCATCTTCAGATGAATGCATGATATTTAATTAGCAAAATACAATGTACGACGTTTAAGCCACCCGCTCGGCTTCTGGTGCTTCAAAGAATGTGATATTGAAGATTATACTCTGGCAAATAACCAACAAACAAATGTGTTCCATCATCCGTGAACCATGAATGTTATTTTGTGCGATTGAAATTGGTAGATTGTAACTGTTTATCAATAACAGGCAATAATGGACGATACCTAATTTTATGAAAGGAAATACTACACATATGGGACCTATTGTCTGGTGACATCTTCAACTTAGACAAATTTTATGGACAGCCTTTGTTGGACAGTTTTTAATCTGATAAGTTAGATTGCGACGTGTGCTGAAATTGTTCATTACAAATTTATAATGCTGATGGTCTATGTAGTTGTCAGAGTTTATGTCCTCGTCAATTTACACTGACAGAACAAAAACCCACTGCCTACGAAATCGTTTATGATTCAAACAAAAATGAGGGCCCTTAAAAAAGCATATGATAAAATCCTCCATAAAGTATTTTCATTCAAAGAATAATTATTTATCTTAAACAATTTTAATTTTATTTAATATTTCCTTTAGATTTCCTTCTCATAGAACCACTGTTTCAATCTTTTAAAGATATAAATGTCATTATTTTGTTTCTCAAAAGTATTCTAACATTTATTTAGTTATTAAATTAAAAATATGACATTAATTTATTTCCTAAAATAGTTGATCCGGTCCCTCATTTGTTAAAAAAATCAGTTTGATCTCAATAATGTGCATTAAAGTCGATTCAATCTCTTAATTATAGAAGTTCGTATTAATATAATCTTTCGGAAGGAATGGTTACAATTCTTTTGTAATTAAAGTGACTGAAATTTGGTTTTCTCGTTTCTTTTTCAGATGGATTTTGCCGGATTTAAATATGTGACTACGGTTAGGCTAGAAGACGATGTCGGTAAAAAGTCCAACATTTAGAAGTACTACTTTACACCTTTTTGTCGTCCTAAATGAGACGTATTACCTTACTTTTGTTTTCTTTTCCCAGTTAATATGAAATGTTGATTACAGGTTATAAATATTTGTGGAATACAGGTTAAAATTTCCTTTTCCTATGAGATGAACTCGTTCTTCTGAGATCAATATCAATATTCTAAACTTATAATTTAATCAGACATCTCAACCCAAGTTCCAAAAATGTAAATGTATTAAATATTGGAAAGGAAAGTTTTGTTATTTACCAAATCGAACGAAATAAGAATATCTAATATTGTGTTTGGATACTGGAATCTTAGACCCCCCCCCCCCCCAAAAAAAAAAAAATCAATATCCTAAACAAGAATTAATATCACAGTATTATATAAATAATAATGAATAGTAAGTAACAAAGAATATATAAAAAGAGACAAATATAATTGATTATTATCAATTATATGTATGACATTTGTGATCCAAAAATCATTTTGATGTCAAGGGTGAGGTAAGTAAAACTAAATAAAATATTTTCAGCTAGTTATTCCTTAGACTCCCCCCAAGCATCGTTGGCTCGCATAAATAGATGGTTCCAGCAAACTAGAATCCCAAAATGTAGGATGTGTAGGTGTAATCGAGGCAATGATGGAGAATGGACTAAAGGATTTTTTAAAAAATTGAAGTTAACTACTGCTTATAATGCAGAATTATGAGGTGTAATGGAATTATGGAAGGTATTATATTAGCATGGAACTTGGGCTATCGTCTTGTAGAGCTGCAGGTAGTGCCACAGGGAAAGTCTTATTTAAGCTCATCAGAAATTTGATTGTTCACTGAGAAGTGAAAATAGTATAATACATGCCTATGGTGCCGATATTTTACCAAACCTTCGATATTTCCCATGAGCCCAGCTTGTTGATCTATGAGCAACCTCCTTGTGACTTAAGTCAAGTTTTTATATGGTCATAGTTTCTACTCTTGGATTTATTTCTTTGTAATTTTCAATTTTTCTTTTTCCTTTGGGCTTAGGCTTAGGCCCCTTTAGCGCACAAGAAAAAAACCTATATAAAGTCCTAATAAAAAGTAAACTTTCCAATAACTAAATATCAATAAGATTCAAGTTTTATGATAATTAAATAAATAATATCCAATAAATAAACATTCACATTCTACCAATTATTCACACAAACTCATATTAAGATGCAAAAATACCATATATACAATTTTTTTTGGTTGAAAATGAAGCATTGTAAAAAGTCAAGGAAGCCTTAATAATATTACCATATTACTGATCCCTAAGACATGGGCCTTTGGCTGATCTATTTCGTGTGCACGGGTGAGTGGGTATCAGGCTGGGCCCAAATCACACAAAGATCATTCGAGCTATTGTAGAAAATAAATTCCAGAATATAATTCGATGAACCTAAATTTTGGCAGAATGTGGTACGTACCACACTTGATGGACTCGCATTATTGGTGTTATTTTTCGTAACAGGGGTTTGTAATTACGTACAGAACAATGAAGCCATAAACATTGCCACCCGAAGCTTCCTTCCAAATCAGAGTAAATGGACACAAAAATTGAAATTTTCCATCTGCATTCCTATTTATATTTTACACTTAATTTTATTGGGGTGCCTTTTGTTCCTAACATTTCTTTAGTACACTTTACGCCATAATATATTTGAATATACAACTTTTCCTAGCGCCTAACTTTTGGGATCTCTAAATTTTGGAGGATGTTGTTGGGTAGAGAAGGTTTGATCCCTGGAATTTTATTTTTTCTTTGCTTAGATATGCTAATTGGAATCTCTCCAGCAACCTAATTTTTTTGGTTGCCGATGCATTCAAAATGTTTTAGGAATATATTGCAATGACTGTCCAGTTTAGATAAATTTGTAAAAAAGTGCTTATATGGGATAATAGAACTAATATAAAGAATAATTTTTTTTATAAATTAAAAGTAGGTTGTATTCATTAAGTTTTAAAGATATTGAATAAGAATTTTTTTAAATAAATAAATAAATATATTTTTAACTTATAAAAATAGTTCATTCATTTTATTATTTAATTTTTTATTCCCATAATATTTATTAATAACTTTATCCAAACACGATAAAAAAAACTTTGAAAGAAATAAGAGGGGGTGAATTGATATTATCTATACGTGTTTATATGTGTATAAAAAATTTAAAACTAAATGCAAAAAGTTAAAAAATAAAATAAATGCAAAGTAACAATGGGCAGAAAGAGAAGAGACATGCAGAATCAAATTAAGTAATGACTTGAATTTGTTTAATTCATGTCAAATTTTTGCATACAATACACTGTCCTCCCTCGAAACAAAATAATCTTAATAAGAAATAAACTCTTGTATTAATAGATACAAGAAACTCTTATATTTGAGGTCCAACAATATTTTAGCTCTCTACAGTCTAAAATGTAAGAGATTTTAAACAAATCAATAACATTGATCAAGATGATACGAAGAAATCAAATTAAATTGATCTTAAAAGAATTAAATAAATCAATTCCAACTAAAAATAATTTATTCAAATTAGCACGCAAATTTTTCACATGTTCAAAATGTTGTTTAACTTAATAAAACAACATAGCCGAAAGGGGTGGAAAAAAATAGTAAGAAGGAAACTAAATCAACAATAGGTGAATTTTATTGTAGTCTACGAAGAACAGATATGATAAACATACGTGGACAGACAGAGAATTAATAACTCATGTTTCTACACAGTACACACAGAACACGATATCAAATAATGTGTCGAGCAATTTCTCCAAGTTTACGCGTCAAACAAGGAACTATATATAGCTAACTGGTGAATTTTGTTGCGCTACCGCTTCTCCTTCATACCCTTTGGTAGGGAACATTCGTCGGGTAGTGAAAAAGCTCTATATATGTGCTGTTCTTTTCATGCTCTTCAACAACATTACTCCAGATTTTGACATAGTGATCCAATGCTGATTGTGATTGCAACATTCAACGAGTGAATATGAATCAAAGACTTCAATTCCTTCACATATCACCTCCACCATTTCCGGAGTTTACTCCTTCTAATAATGTGTCGGTGTTTCTACAAAGCGATCAAACATTAGACATTTAAAAATGAAAAGCCAAACAATAGTTGAAATTTCCAAACATTGCTTTTGTTGTTAACTTGCTCATTCTGAATGCATGCATCTACCTACGTTCACACAAGCAAATATATATAGGCCACAATGGAAATTCATGCAAGTACCACAGCTAATAAATAGTGATTTTACCCAAAAGAAAAGTTATGGTAGATAACTTTTGATTAGAAGACAAGTGCAATATTCAAAAGATTAACGTACGTACAAAACTCACCTAATTAAACTTTTGCTTATGACTTGAGTTTGAATTTATAGCTTCCATTCAGCAAACAGGGTGACAAAAAAGGTGGTGTTAAATGTTGTATATCCAAAATTTTCAAATGTGAAGTGTCAGCCAACCTTAATATTATATTTCAAAGTCTTCAACTAATTATTAATTGTTTAGTCTTCAACTGCAATATTAATTGCTTTTGAAACCAACCCAAATCCGAAGAAGCGGCGAGTAAGATGTGAAATTAGAATCAGCACTTGAGTCAGATACTCCATCATTGCTCCGATAAACAAATCCTAATCCACGAATTAAGGAATTGATTTTGTTGTCTACAAATATGATCATAACTTTGAATATTAGGAAACTCATAAGTCTCCACAACAATCAACCCCGCCATCATTTATTTGGAGTTGCTCCACGTATAGTTCTTCTATATTTTTTTTCTAATTTCAGTTAAACTTTTTAAACTCAAGCTTCTGTGAAAGTTCAAGCAAATTACTTCAAACCCAAATAATATATATAAACACACTGTGAAAAATAATTTCCATTTATTAATAATTTAATAGATTAACTTCTGTTGATATAAGTTTTCTACGAATAAAATTAATAGAATTGTATATTAGACTAGTAAATAATTCTGTTAGTACAAATATTAATTTTTCCTAGACAAATATTATATCAATAAAAACTATCTTAACACTTGACTATTTTTATAAGTTTTTAACAACTAACAACTTTTTTAGTGACATTTCGTGTAGTTATATAATTAAATTTTGTTTAGATCCCTTTATGTCCGATTCAAGGCTTTTCTTAAAAAATATGAAAATATTTTTTAAGTGAAAACTAACATTATATATAAAATAAGCTAAATAGAACTGACACCAACAGTCCTGATAAATTTTTCATTATAGGGAACGAATGGAAAAAACTAATGATCAACCTTGAGAATT